GGGAATCTCTCATAGAATAAAGTTCAAGGAAGAGTTCAAGACGAAAAGTCAAAGATCCGGCACCTTTTAGCTCAGGTTTAACACAATCTTCAGCCTATGCAGCTACCCAGCATTTTGAATTTAATGTAGAATCTTTTTGTAAAGATTTGGCCAAGCATGAAATTGCCAAATTCTTGTTAACCATAAAGAAAATTTCATCTTTGCTGTATTTTTCTCTAATGTCATCAAATAGGACTCCCTCATCTGGGTATATAACCAAAGTGGAAAATTGAGAAGAGAAATTTACCATGTGCCGTTTCCTGACTGATAAGAACGGTACGTGACCGATACCCACGCTCCTTTTCTGCTATTGGGATAGAGAAAACAGACAAGAGAAATGATTTTCTTTTCTTTTGTTTTGTTTTTTTTTTACTATACGGAGTATTATAATATTTGTAGCAAACTTAGAAAACCAGTTTTATGGCTTTAAAGTGTTTACTTCATGCCTTTTATTTCTTTAAAGAAAAGACTTTCTACGGACAATAGACATGAACATATAAACTTTGACAGTTTAAGAGTATAGGCTGGAGGGTGTATTTTCATTCTGAAATGACATAGAGCCTCGCTACTCTAAGTATGGGCAATAAGTTGGTAGCATCTCCACCATCTGGGGGAAATGAAGAGTCTCAGGCCCCAATCCAAGGAATCTGCACTGTATCAAGACCCCTAGACACTTGTGCCACCCACTATGGGGTAGCCCTTAGGGAAAGACAGACTTACTCTCATAGAGAAATTTTGCCCAAAATATTCCACCAAGAACATATAATAACTTCTAGACGTGGCCCACATAACAAATGAAGTTTGAGAACAAGGGCATGTAAAGTAAAATGCCATATATCACATAACTATTCATGAACTGCTTCAATTAATTATACATAATCTTCCATTGCCTCCAACCTAAGGCAGTTTCTTTAGCAAGACATATACAACCGTTATCTATTACACTTAGTTCTAAAAACAGAGAGATTACCTTAGTAAACAATTATGTAAGCACTAAGTACAGTAGTTTCGAAAAGAATTGTGTCCAGCCAATAATGACCATTATCATCACAGTTACCACGACTTCAGTGTGATGAAGTCTACTTTGATTTCCCAAAGGAGATGAGCCAGTTCTGACAATTGTTGCTTGTGTCCAAGGATTGTTGAGCAAGGCAGGGGAAGGACTGAACTACACATTGCATTTTGGGTGCCCTGGAGGACTGGGGTTGTGGCTCTAAGAAGCCAGGGGGAGAGAAGGAAGCTCGCTCCAGTAGCTGGTGTTAAGAAACCCCCAAGTTCATTCAAGCAATTTGCTAGCACAAAGCAAATTAAAGAAGGTCACCATTCAGACTTTGCACACACCATAGGCAACTCTTAGGCTGTTATTTGCTGATGTCCTTTCTCCTTTAAGGCTCTCCTTGACTTTAACACTAATCTGATCTTCCTTGTAAAAGAAAATGAAAGTGAGGAAGGTCGGAGAGGGGCAGGAAGGAATTGCTGTGAGCTGGTGTTTGTCTCCCTGCCACCCCCACAGACAAGCCCCAGGACAACTACGGCCATGAGAGCTTCCCCTTTGTAACAGTGACCTTGTGTTAGGCTTCCGGGCATAACTGTGCTGCCAAGAACAGAAACACGTCTTCTCCCCTAAGACCCCCCTGTGCATCTTCTGATCCGCAAACACTTCTGAAAATACACATTTGTTAACCAGCCCGGTTTGGAACAGAGAAACGCAATCGCTGCTCCCAATAAAGAACCTTTACCTTTTAAAACAAAACCAAATCATCTGAGTACCAGGACAGCACATCCTTCACTGAGGTGTCCCCATGCCTGGCACAGTGCCTGGTTCACATGGTGATGAACTGCACTTATCTCCACGTCTTCTGGCACTGAATCTGACAAATCTCACACATACATTGAAATCAGACAAGGGATTTGAGCTTATTCATTTACTCAGGTTTATCATTTGGTCTTTCCCCTAATTTAATTATTGTCTATTTTTCCTTTGCTCATCTACCCAAAGAGCTTAGTTTGAAGGATATTTTATAGTAATACTGTATTTCAAATAGTAGCTATGCTAAGTAGAATCTAGCTCTCTGCATCACCGGTGATGAAAGAAGGAAACAGTGCAGATGGCAGGTGCAGCAGGCACTGAAAAGCGAAACCCAGGACAGCACCCAGCAGCCTCCCCCGGGAAACGGCTTTTCTTCCACCCCCTAATTCTGCTTCTTAGTTTCTTTGTCCTCCTTTCTTTCTTTATCTACTCTTCATTTTTTCTCTTCTTTTTTCATGACCTCTTTACTCAGCCTTTAGGCTGGTTGGGCACCCAAAGGAGGGACTGACATCACCAAGGACCCTCAATTTCCCTTCTCATCTGCCTTACCCTAAGGATGGCTCTTCTCACCAAGGAAAGGATTCCCAGTGTCCACTGGTCTCCCATCATTTCATCTCCCATGACAGAGCGTGCTGGGTAGAGTCCACAGAGCGAGCCTAAACAGCGTCTCCCGGTCTCAGTTTTCCATGGTAAAATGCCAGTAGTTTATTGGTTAACTCAGACAAGTTTACATAGTTTATGTAAAAATTATTTTTTAAAAAATCAAGATAAAATTAGTCCTCCCCTTATCTATGCATGGTTTATTGGAAAAAAGTAAATGCCCTATGAGATAATAACCAGTTTGAAATAAACACATTTTTTAAAAAAAATCATAGTCACTAATACCATGAGTTTCTAAGACAGTCCTCTACATATGAATGGATCGATCAGAGAGTTCAGTTAATGTCATCAAATAAACCAGACTTTCCCATCTGTTACTGGTCATCACCCAGGAGTTCTTGCTTTGCGTAGTGTTACAACTTCACACTTTTTTGATAATTTTCTTCTGTCCTTCTCTTTTCTAGCCCAAAGTATGTGCATTTCTGCCCTCAACTAATTTCCAAATGCAGCATTTTTTACATTGCACCTATTAATACCCATGTCTGTTTCATATAGACACGGTCCCGAACCAAGCCGAACGTTCAGTAAACTATTACAGATGTTAATTCTAGTTTTAAATTATATGATAGTGTAATTATCCTACCAAATTTGGGATCTTTCAGTTAATATCTCCACTGGTTTAGAAATCCATATATTAAAAGAAGAGGTCTGAGAAATGGAGTCTATTAGAAGCAGTGAAATAAAATGTTTGCCCTTAAATTAATTTTTAAATATTTATATCTGTATTTCAAAACTATCTCCCCATTTACACTAAATTGTCTTTAGAAATTTATCTCAATTACACTTTTTCAGTTTCTTCTAAAGCATTTCTTCCTTATTTTGATTGTGCAATTAAATGTAAGCGCCACACGTTTATCAATCACATATTTTATCAATTATATATCTATGTGATCTTTGACAACTTTGGCTAATTAGGATGCCAATATTCTGTGTACCAAATGCATCCGTCATTCATGAGAGGAACCAAGTATTGAATCAAAACTAAAAACAAGATTCTCTTAAAGAGAAGGGCTTCTTGGTTATAGGTTGGCCTTCAACAAGGGAAGATATTATGTTGATACGTCAATATATTTAAATTTGCAAAGGTATGTAATTACTAAAGGTCTGCAATATCTCCATGTAAAGCAGTGCCCTTGGTTATCATTATCATGGATAAAGTGCCAATAAACACATCAGTAAGCAAATCATCCCCAACCCTCCAGCAATGTTCTTCCGCGTTCTGTGCAACCCTTACTATAGATTCTTAGCTTCAGGATCACAGTCTTCCTAACACTCATCTTTGCATCTTTGGTATTTTCTGAAATACACCTTTGGCACCTAGATTTTCCAATCTGTTATACCATTAATGACAATTCCTTAAATGATATGCTCCAAAGGACAAAACTCCAGACATTGGAATAAGACATCTCACTCAAGCCTCAGAGGACGTTATGAACCACTTCAAACAATTGCATGAATCTTTCCGATGTGTTATATAATGCCTTTCAAATTGTAAAATACGGGGACTTATCTAAACCTCACCATCGAAGGCATTCTGAAGCATTTTGCAAATAGTGAATTATCAACTATTGTACAAAAATCAGTGCAAAGTTTCATTGAAGCAGCCTGAAACACAGTCTTAGCTGGATGAAGACATAAATCATCATTAGAATTTCTGTTACCCTTGCCAATTTTTGCAGAAAAGATTTTTAAAAATTATCAACCCCTTAAAGACAAATTTTACCTGCCTACACTTTTCCTGAGCTTCACAACCTATAAAAAAATGACATCATGAATACACTTTACACTCCTAAAGGCCCAGCACAAATTTTAACCAAGAACTTAGAGATAAGCCCATCTGCAAGGCTATTTTATTAAATTTCACTTTTAAAGAGAAAACTATATCAAGACCAAAAAGAAAAAATAGAAGGAGTAAAAGGGATGAGCGTGGAGTAATCTGGTTGTTACATTCAGCAGTAAAGTTGCTGTGTGAGTTTGCTCCATCTAGAATTGTCACTAATGATAAAAGAAGAATGGTGTCAAACAATTATTTGGCACGATGCTTGACAAGGTAAAACGTTTCAAAAAAAGTAAACTCTTTTCTCTGGTCATTTACAGAAAATTAAATTCTGTCTGTCCTTAATCCTCAGGGACATGACCTTATCAATTTTTGTGTTACTTTTTGTTACTTTCCACTTAAGAGTGGCAGAATTTCATAATAGGGGACTTAACAGAAAAAATTTAATCTGTATAACAGCTGTGTTCCTCCCTACACATCTCATCTTTAAAAAAGAAAAAAAAAAGCTTTGCTTCTAAAGCACTAATTTACCATTTTATAACATGTGGACAAAGCTTCGATTCAATTTGATGATACAAGGACTGCTGAGTGATAACCATGGTTCTCTCCAATCAGTTCAGCATGCATCTGGTCTTTGATGTCAAGTGCACCTGTAATTAGTGCCTTAAATTAACAGCTTCACTATAAACAGTTCAGGCATTTAGAAACAAAGTATCAATGGAACAGTTACTTTAATTCATTTTATAAATAAGCAACTGAGAATTTTGCTCCAAGTGGCCACCAGTGTAGCCCATCCCGTAAATGGCATTCTCCGAAGCATAAGGCACAATATGATAGGAATGCAGCTCTTCGTAATAAAGAGACTGAGAACAGCATTCCTGCACCATAAACTTCAGCCGTTTTCTTGTATCAGAATAAGCAGTCTGATAAGAGGGAGCTTCTTTAAAGTAATCATAGCTCTCTTTCTCCGTCTCTAGATGTATCTTCCTCAGCAAATTGTTAATTAACACAGACCTTCTTAAGTAGGTTTCTGGGTCTTCAAGAAACCTGAGCTTCTCCAGGGAAAGTTTGAGAATGCAAGTCCTGTCCTCAGGTAATATCAGGTGCTGAAAAGCAAACATAATCATTAAATCTACATTGAGGAGGGAAAAAAAGAAAACTAGAGCTTTTTACTATTGATGGCATGCATAAAAGTGAAAAAATAACAACAAGTAAACTCTTACTTTTGGAAAATACCCATGGTAATCTTGATGTAAATCTTCTTCTTCTGCATATTTTCTCTTAAAATAGGCTACTTTCGACGTTGTTGATGTATGTGATAATACTTTTGTTGGATAAGCTAAACAGATAAGATAATTGGAGAAAAGTCAGATTTTATTGTGGCACAGAGTATTTTATAACATAAATTCTGCTTGTAAAAATAAACTAGTGACCAGAAATTGTTATCCTCTCTTTGCTAAGCAATATCACACTTTTCTCATGACCAAAAAAAGCCTCCAGGCAGGAAAAAGTGGCCATTCAGACCCCAAAATAGATTTTCTAGATCGGATATGTATGTTCATTTTCTTGTGAAGTCCCCTAGAAATCAAATATCAATACTGTATTTAATTTCATACCATTTAATGTCAAAACACACCCAAATTTATAATTAACAAAATATAAAGAGAGGAGATAACTTTATATCATTATTTTAGCTAAAATGCCTACTATAGAGAGGAAATTTAATGTTGTTGTGTTAATAAAATGGGGTATAAAATAGTTGATATCCCAATTACACTTGAAAGAAGTAGTTATATATCTGTAGATAAAACATCATAATATAATTATAACGGTCCTCACATATGGCTTAGAGGAGGTTAATCATAAGTAAATGAAAGATTGAGATAAAGTTCTGACTAGAAAACTTTATATTGGTATGGTATCTGAAACTAAAGACTTTTTCTCCTTTAAAACACTATTGGTGTTGAGGATTCTGATTTGTTTAAGGAAGACAAACGTTCTGAAAACACATTTTTCAGAAAAGAAATGGTTTGGTTTAAGGGGATCTCCTAGGATTTCCACTAGGTGGCGATCACATCACAACAAGTAGGTAAAATCCACCTTCAAAGCTCAGTGAATGAGTTTAGAGAGCAAATTGAGTCCAGTTCAGTTCAGTATTCATTCAACTTCAGCTCCCAGACCAGGAAGAAAGTTCACATTTAAAGATAATTTTTTTCTACCCTTAATCCATGCCCTCAAATATTTCTATGTGTTGAAACCATTTAATTCACGAAATAATGAGCAGTGTACTAATGAGTTCATAAATAAATTTAAGGTAAGACATTTAACATCCTCTAAAATCCTAACATTTTTAAAGCTCAAATGTTAAAAATATGTTCAAGAACTTGCCTTTTGTGGCTTTTCCTCCAACTCAGTGACATCTGAGCTACAAAATTTTCCTAAACTTCTGCCTCACTGTGGATTATAAACCCAATAAAGCCTTACATCGGAGTTGGTATGTATTGTTAAAGGAATCAAGAACTTTAAATCAGTGATGTGTCTGACCTAACGGAGACTAGCCATGCATGACGTGAGGGGCCTGTAATCTCAGCTACTCAAGAGACTGAGGCTGGAGAATCATGTGAGTCCAGGAGATCAAGACCAGCCTCGGCAACAAAGTAAGACCCTGTCTCTAAATAAATAATGAAAAAGAGACTAATATCTAACAATAATTCACAAATTAGTTGAAGCAAAGACAGTGGTTGTTGCTATACACTAACTCCAAATTCAATGAGCAAACTCAGCTTACATAGAAAATTGAACAGAAAACGAAAGAAGTATCACTGAACCCAGTTTCCTCAGGGGACATATTTTTCTGTGAACTGCATTGTTAGACACATAGAGGTTCCGCTTTGGGTTGTCCCATGTGATAATTATTTTTTCTTCTTTTTAAACTCTTTGACTGATGTAATCATGGTTTTCAAATGTTAGTAAGTGTCAGAATCACCGGGAGGCCTGTTGAAACACTAATTGGGTCCCTTCCCCAGAGTTTATAATTCAGTCAGTCTAGGCTAGAAGCAGAAAAGGTGAATTTCTTTCTCTCTCGCTCTCTCTCTCGCTCTCTCTCTTTCTTTCTTTCTTGACAGAGTCTCACTTGATCACCCTGGGTCAATGCCATGGCATCATAGCTCACAGCAACCTCAAACTCTTAGGTTCAAGAGATCCTCTTGCCTCAGCCTCCTGAGTAGGAGTAGCTGGGAGTACAGGCACCTGCCACAACACCCAGCTATTTTTAGAGACAGGGTCTCCCTCTGGCTCAGGCTGGTCTGGAACTAGTAAGCTCAGGCAATCCACCCGCCTTGGCCACCCAGAGTGCTGGGATTACAGGTGTGAGCCACCGCGCCTGGCAAGAAGGTGCATTTCTAAGGAATCCAGGTGATGCCGTGCTGCCGGTCAGGGACTGCCTCTTGAGAGTGTCCGTGCAGCAGGAGGCGGCAGGTGTAGCACAAGACTCCCGCTGCGGTACACAGACCCTCAGTTCATCAGCTGACTGCTGCACATCCGAATGCCAAGTAATCGGCCAGATTGTTGCTGCTGCCACTGCTTCCTCCACAGGCTTAGCTGCCTCAGCCTCAAGAACAAAGCCAGACTGCGTTTTAACTAAACTGTGAAGAATGAAGAAACTTTTCAACCTGAACTCCTGGGTTCACATCAAAAAGCATCAGAGGCTGTTATTAGCATTATAGGTAGGCAGGCCCCCCAATTTTTTTTAACAAGGTCCATTGAATTACCGCTGGGTAGGAGAGAGTGAGGAAAGACTTGGAAATGAGAAGAGTAACTTCATCATAAGCAAACATGATTTTCTTACATGTATCTTCTTAAATTGCTCATTTTGTCCTCCAAAGTAATGTGATGTCTACAGCATTCGTGACAATTAGGCACCTTTTAATGGATGATACGAGGAAGAAGCAAATGTCACACACTTACTGTTCCAACCCCAGCTGAACCTCCAGGGATGTTATTTACATCTAACAGATGGAGACAAAACAATTATATCAAATGACTCCCAGGCTCATAAAGATTCTGCCAGGCTATATTCAAACAGAGACTATCTCAGATCCTGAAAATACAGAGAAAATTCTGAGGTGTTCTAGATTTGAGACTTGGCTTCTCTTGAAGCAGCACACTTAGCCACTTGGTTTATCGCTCTTAAAAACCACCCCCATGGGTTGTTGAAATTCTGACAAAGCCTTCACAGCTGGCATCAGTTTGACAATTACCTCCTCGCAAGCTGTTTAGCTATTTGCAACATTTTTGGCATCAAATTGTGGAGGATGGTTTTAGCCACTTTTAGGCTAAAATATATAGCAAACATAAGTTCCTACATCTGTTTTCTTGGCTGGATTAGACCTCAAAAACTTCAGAGCTGGAAACTCTTCATTGGTCACCTGATTCAGGATTCTCAGAGTCCAGATGAGAACATGGCAGCCTGAAAGAGTTCAGTGATTTAAAGTGTGACATGTCCCTGAGAGTTGGGGCTTTGAAGTCAGATAGAATTGGACTTGAACTCCAGATCTGCTGCTCCTCAGTGTGTGACTTTGAGCCAATTACATAAGCTCTCTGCAAATCTCATTTGTAGAGTAGGGATAGAAATAATACTGGCTCATAAGATCACTGAAATAATTCAGGGAAAGTGGCTGGCACTGTGCCTGGCATATATAAGCATTAAATCGAATCCTAGCTCTTATCCGTGCCAACACAGGCACAGAGCTATCCCACAGAAGCAAAGCCCAGGTTGACCAGCTAGCTCTGACCTAAAGACTCTACCACTCTACCTCCTTGAGATTCTAGATTGTAATTTGATAGTTTTAAAAACTGCAAGAAAATATTACAAATGGTCAGATTGAAAATTAATAGCACAGAGTCTATCAAAGCTCCAAGAAAGTGTTCCTGTTCTTTTGCACCTGGTCATACATTTTAGGTGAAGGAAATGTAAATTGGTTTTGAATCATCCAGATAATCATTCAAATAATCAATTAAAGTGGATCTGCATATCCAGAGGAGTTTGTCTGTTATAATCCAGTAAACCTGCGCAAATCTGTTATCATTCTCCTTAAACTAAAAAGCCAAACTCAACCTAGCCTGTCATTCAAATAAAGCTGATGAAATACAAGAAAAAGTTAAGTGACCTTCTGTCTTCATACTCCGTGTCCTGACTCTGAGAACAGTATATAAATCATAAAACTGAATTAGTCTGAGCCTAAATTTATCTCTGATGGTGAAATGGCTAATGCTGGCTCACATACTCAAACTGTTTTTAATGCTATAACCCAGGGGCACATAAAATACCTGTGCCAGGCTCAGGGCATCTCATAGTGTAGAAGTGCAATAACCAACCAATTAGAAGTCACAGAAGCGAATGATCATCCCTGTCATTGGAGTTCTGGCAGTCCAGTTCATACTTATTTCTTTAAATAAATGTTTAAACTGTAATTACAAATGATTGCTCAAATGCTCTTCCTTACTGTTCTGCTTCTCCTTCCAGACAACTAAAATACGATTATTATACAAGTGATTTCATTTGGTACACGGCCCAGGGACAGTGCATTAAGGAAACATCATCCACAAATTAATTTACAAACACATTGAGAGAACCACAGGAAGAGAAGAACTTCTGCCCTGGTAATCCGTTCTTCGTCCAAGACTTGGTGAAACGTAATGAATAAAATGTCTCTTAATTTCCCACGGTTTTTATTCCTCCCCCCCACACACACACAACATTTTAATCCACACATTGAGAACACAGAAACTGTCCTAATGGATGTGTGTATCCCAGCCGCAGACTGAAGGGGCAGCGCCCAGTCCCTGGGGAGAAAACACCTGCGGCTCTATCCTAGATCAGCAACTGACCTGTGTTACAGACGATCGCTCCCTCATTTCTCCTTGTGTGCTGTTGGCCTGACCTGAGCCTTCATCAGCACAGCGTCCCTATCTGTCTAAAGAGTGCCTTGCTGGTGACAAAGCTACAGAATGTGCTTCCTAGAGGCCACGTTGGTTTAGAAAGACTTGTCCCTCTGCCCCTGTTAGCCACTTTCTGTGGTCTTGCTGAATGGCTTAACAGAACCGTCAGCATAACTGTCTCATTACGCCTGACAGCACCAGTTCAAATACCAGCTCTGCAGTTTATTTGCTTTAATCTCAGAGAGCCTAAGTTTCCTCATCTATTAAATGCGGGAACAACAACCAACTCCTTGTATGTGAATTAGAAGAGATGATGCTGTAGGGAGGGGAGCTCAGCGCAGTGAAGACACCTGCCCTCACGGGTTTATTGCTGCAGTATTCGTGATAGCCAAGCTTTGGAATCCACATATGTGTCCATCAGCAGATGAATGGATAAAGGAATCCTGGTGCATGTACATAGTGGAATATTATATACATATAGCCACAAGGAAAGAATGAAATCCTGCCATGTGCAACAACATGGATGAAACTGGTGAACATTATATTAATCGAAATAAGCCAACTACGAAAAGACAAATTTCTCCTATTCTCCTGTTCTCATGCATATAGCTCAATACTAAAAACAGCTGGTCTCGTGGGAGACAGGATGGCACGAACGTTATTTGATCACACAACAAAGTGACCATAATCAACACTAAGTTAGGGCACACTTTAAAATAAGCAAAAGAAAGGAACTGAAATGTATGGGAATTTGCACTGGAGTTGGGTGACTCTCTGCCCTCCCACATATGGAGGCCTGGAGTTTCCCTAGTGGTGAAGTCAGCTCCATTCACAGGGTACCTTTCTCCCAAAGAGCTGTAGGTGCTGCATTAAACTGCATTGCCCTGAAGCTCTAGTGGTCCACTTAAGCCAGTACTGGTCTTATCCCTCACTGCATATGCAGAAAGAGACCGTGAAGCAGTAAAACAAGTAGCCCAGGGGGACAGAATCGACCCTGCAGGCTCAGGGGTCCTGACTCCCCTTACAGGATTCCCAACTTTTCTTGATGTTCCTAACCCATGCTTCCTTTGTTTTAAGGAATAAAACATACCCTGATATACACCTGCTCAGGAAATTTCCCGCCCTCAAACTAACACCTCCTTTCCTCCCAAGCACCACTGATAGTTAGAAACTCTTCTTTTTCTACCAAGAAGGCTTTTTGTTGCACTTTGCCTCTTGCAATTTGTTTCCTAGATATAAGACTGGATTACAACACTGAACAAACACTAGTAAATCCTTCGTGGCTTTGATTAATAACTTCACACCATCTCCACTGAGAATTATTACCACAAACTGAATGGCTCTTGTTATTTGCCCATTTGTATAAATTAAATTAGGAAAAAATATATAAAAATGATTGCATTAGATTTAAAGGGGGAAACACTAATGTATTTTCTAGATTTCTGAAGCTTATGGCTTTGATAAACAGAGCAACCTAAACTAACCATTCCTTGGTGTTACAGCCATCATTGGGGTGTCAGTGTTTGGGGGGCTAAAGCCACTGTCACGAGTAGGGAGCCCAGGAGTGGAGGGAAGGCCCTCATCCTCTTGATAAGTTTTCAACATCTCTCTGTTTCAAGGCATGTTGTAAATTCCACGAAGGTTATATGATATAAAACTGAACAAAGAAATTTCACATACACCTCACAACTTTCAAATAGAGAATGTGAGACAAGAAGCCTCAAATCAGAACTTGGTTTCAGTTTTGATAATCTGTGTGTACAGGAGAGCTGGTATCCTAATTGATGAGGGTGACTAGATTCTTAAATACAAACTGGTGGAATTTTCTTTTGCTCTCAAATTTTGGATCCACCAATTTCCCTAGAATTAAATGTTTATATTGTAATAATGCCATTTTTTAATTTCAGGTTATATGAGGGTACATATGATTAGGTGACATTATTTGTGTCTCATAGTGGAGATTGCATATGGCATAACGATACCATTTGATTTATTGTTCATTTATTTAAAGCCAAATATCATGATAGCAATTTCTGATGACTTTTTAGACAGGTATGTTATCAAAATCGTGAGTATCTATTCTGCACATTACACATTTAGGATAGAATCAAAATTTAAGAAGCCCTTTCATTTAGCCTTTTTGATTATGACCATGGCCTCAGTGGAAGGACAGACCAGTTCACGTGAATCAAAGGGCACTGGGTACTTTTCAACTTTTATGTATATTACATAAGAGAGAGGGTATAGATAAGTTACTGATACACATGACTTATGCATATACATGAACCAATAATTGTGGCTGCTTTACCCAAACTTTCCTCAGGTTGACAGCATGAATAGAGCTCTGCACACGTATCACGGCAGAGACATGTATACTGAGTCTTACTGGTCTCTTCAGATTTGTTTCTTACCATAAAAAGCAGTCACTGTGCTGGAGGAAGAAGAAGGGGTGGGTGGTGATAAAAGCTAACAAAACCAATAATTTTGATCAGTTAAATACTTATCTTTAAAGCATAAAATTATTAAACTATAGCTATTTCAATAAATGACTACAGAGATCAATCATCTTAAAGACTCATGATATTCATAATCTATAGACCAGAAAAATGTCCAAATAGGTTTCTGAACAGAAGTTTTCAATCATTTATTTTTATGAAGGGAGCAAAGGAACGGGATGCAATGTCACATGGCATATTTTCGTGAATTTGATTGTAATTTGCAAGGCTGGTTCCCTACAGGAATGACACACAGATCGGTCAGTACCTGTGGAAGTTACAGGATGCTGGAGAGTCGAACACTCATTCAAGGACTATGTTCAGTTTTGAGTTTAAAACGTTCAGCCCTCCTCAGTTCCTATCATCATGACTTTAATGAAAATTAAATTTAAAACATCACTGTATGTTTTTATTTTTTATTTTTTTTGCAACTTGGAGAGCTCTCTTCACTTCCTTCATTCAGACACATGGGTGTACTCAGCCTTCCACTTGACCTCCTAACGCAGCCCACCCTAATCACAAGTGTCTCAGAGAAGAAAATCTCCCAGCCCACAAATGTCCTTTTTACAGAAAACCTCTATTGACTTCTCCCAGCAACCATCTCTATAAACAAGCCCTTACATCAATCTTGCCACATCAGCATGTATTTGTCTGGATACATATTTAAACAGGCATTTGTTGTAAGCTAGTGATTACCTGGTGATGCTGAAATCAACCTGAAAAGTGTCTCTCTAGAACAGCTTCAGAAAATCGGGTGAGAGTGCCCCTTCGCCCAGCAAGCATTTCTCACAGCCTCAGGCTCATGAATGGTCACCTGAGATCTAGAAACAAGGAGACAGACACAAACAAGAGAGTGAGGACTGTAGTGGCCTAGCACGATGGCCCCGTGGGGAGAAGCATGCATCAGGAAGATGCCATCTGAGATGTCCCAGCACTTAGCCAGGTGACCCTCCAACACACACAATCACGTCAGCGCCTCCAGCTCTCAGTCTACACACGAGAAATCTGAACTATCCCAAGAAATTTGGAAATACCTGAATAACTGATCTCACTGGTTTGGGGAGATTATTTTTGGAAGATTATCAGGAGGCTGATGTAAGAAAATCAGAGTCGGTTACTCCTCACTTCTCATGCCAGATCTGGTGTAATTTCAGGAAGCATTCAAGTAACACACCAGCAGTTACGGCAAAACAAACTAATTCGGTCCTTCTCGGGAATACACGTTCATTCTCACAAGATTTGAAATTGCCCAAAGCTACTTTTTCCCTGAAGACGGTTCTCCTGTGAAGGGCTGTGTGGAACTGCACCTCTCTGCACGGATGTGAGCCTGCAGATCGCATCAGCTTCTATATTTAGAGATGAGCTTTCCAGAGCAAGGCAGGCAACCGTTCAGGAGGATCCCATCGAAAGAGGGGTGCGTTACTATGGTTACTCTGGGGGTAACAGTGAGCTGCTGCTCCTCGCCACACGGCCCCTCCAGGAGCGGCCCTACCGGGAACGCTGCCCTCAGAGCGTGCGACTCGGTTCCCGAGACGACACTATGTCATGTCAGCGTTAACCACAGGCTTTTCCTCTCTACCGACGCTCGCTGCTTCCAGCTGTCGGCCGCACACAGGCAGCGGAGTCAAAGGAAAAACAAGGCAGATCGAAAACTTCCCGACACTCACCCCACAGCGATGAGTCAGGGGCATCCTGGAGAACCAGTCCCGAGATTTAC